ATGTTCTTTCCTGTTAGGGTGGTGAGGCACTGGAATGGTTGCCCAAGGAAGTTGGGAATGCTCCATCTCTGGCGGTGTTCAAGGCCAGGTTGGACAGAGTCTTGGGTGGCATGGTTTAGTGTGAGGTGTCCCTGCCCATGGCAGGGGGTTTGGAACTGGGTGATCTTAAGGTCCTTCCCAACCCTAACTATTCTATGATTCTCTGATAGGCCATTGTTTAAAGCCATGGGCTTAATTTGATGCAATTTTGTCATTTACCTGCAATGTTCTACAAACTATGAGTTGGTTAAATCTAAGCCATGGAGCTCGGAGTCTCCCAGTGTTTCCTGCTGAGCTTCTGGCTCCTGCCAGTGACCCCCTGCGGAAGTGTGGAGGTGCTGACAGGCAGCAAAGGTGGAGAACTGTGTGTGTTTTGGACAAGTCTGAAAGCTCAAAATGGGGAAATGGAGATGTTTGATTTTGGCATGTTAAATTAGGACTGTCAGGTTCGGGACAGCAGTGCCTTGCTGGGCAGGTAAAGCGCCATCCCAAATACGTGGAACCACGGTGCTGTGTCTGCTAAAGCAGTGTTGTTGAAGGTGAACAGCTCCATGAGTGAGGTTTATTAGAAACAGCAGCAGAAACAGGACACCCAGCAGTTTTTAAAGTATATTCTCAGTGGTGTGACCACTGATTATTTTTCTAATACCTTTTTTCTACATATTTTATAACTTATGCTTTAGTATAAAATTGGAAGCAAAATCCAATTGTGTAGGAAAATTATTTCCTTGTATTGAAGAAGCAATCAACTTGAGACTTTTTAATCATTAGATGGTAACTGTGCACTAAAGAAAGGAAGACCATTATAGTAACTTAATAGGCTAGGATAAATGTTTTTCCCTGTATCTTCTTCATCTACTTAGAGCTTCATGCTGAGGATATTTCATAAAAGCTGCTTTTCTTGACCTTTTTGACACTCATTGCATAGAGGAGCCAACCGAACGAATGGCAGGGATCTAACACTGTGCATTTCCGAGTACAAACCCAATCATTGTGCTAAACATCTCTGTTCATCCTTTCCTGCCAAATTCTGCTTTTCCTTTCTCATTACGGCATGAATAGCTATCGGGACAAATAAAAATGCGTTTAGCTGAGCTGGGTGATTTTTAAAAACAAGCTGTGTTAATGCTTTTAATTAAGAGGCAGAGGAACAAGAGGCTTTACCAGCTCTTTGTCTGCAGGCCATTATTTCCTTGTGGATGAGCTATCTGTTATTGTAAACGTCCACCTTTTTGAAGGATTTACTACAAAATCAAATGGTGTTTTCATTTAAATTGTTGAGCACCGCTTGATTCCCCATTTATTTAATATGGAGGCATAGTTACAAAGAAGAATGTAGCACTTGATTTCTATTGCTTGAGGGACTTGGGACCCACACAGGAATGTTGCTTTGCATGCTTCACCGTGTTGGATATGGAAAGCAATGAAGATTAGGAAGATTTGAAGGTGAAAGTTAGGAAAGCCGACTAGGGTGTTTCTAAGAACGTTTTGGAAAGGTGACTCTGTGGTCTACAAAGTGAAGGTATGTTGCAAAATAACGATGAAAAAGGCATTCTTGGGGTATGGCTCCTGTGCATGGCTGTTGAGTGGCTTCCAGTTGAGAAAACCTTGTTTATCTGTTAGCGAGTTCCCAATGATCATAGACTCATAGAATAACAATGGTTTGGGTTGGAAGGGACCTTAAAGCTCATCCAGTTTTAACCCCTGCCACAGACAGAGACACCTTCCGCTACAGCAGCTTGCTCCAAGCCTCAAACAAGTCCAACCTGGCCTTGAACACTGCCAGGGATGGAACAGCCACAGCTTCTCTGGGCACCCTATGCCAGTGCCTCACCACCCTCACAGGGAAAAACTTCTTCCTTATATCCAACCTAAATCTTCCCTGTTTAAGTTTAAACCTGTTACCCGTTGTCCTATTGCTACAGTCACTGATGAAGAGTCCCTCTCTGGCATCCATGTAAGCCCCCTTCAGACACTGGAAGCTCCTCTGAGGTCTCCACGCAGCTTCTCCAGGCTGAACAGCCCCGGAGTTCACAACCTGTCTCCATACAGGACCTGCTTCAGCCCCTGGTCGTCCTCGTGGCCTTCTCTGGACTTGCTCCAAGTCTTTCTTATGTTGAGGATACCAGAACTGCACAAGTGCTCCAGTGGGGTCTCAAGAAAGCAGAATAGAGGGGCAGGATCACCTCCTTTGACCTGCTGGTCATGATCTGCATTACTGGGTCAGAAATGCAGTTTAATTTGTCTGAAACTTTCACTTGTTTTGTTTTTTTCCTGTCTTTAACTGCTCTCTGAGTGCCTTTAACAGGACTTGCAGGTTTTGACTAGTGAAGTCAAATGTTGCCATGCTCCACCACACCTATTCCCAGTGGAGGAGAGGAACTGCATACTCCTTGTAAAACCAGAACAGTTTACCCTTCTCTTTAATTCCAGGAGGTAATCTAAGATAATGGAGCTATTAGATTTGGCATCTGTAACGTGGTTATCATTTCAGAAAGAATTGTTTCTGCTGATGGCTGTTAACTTGCTACAAATAAAGCAATAGAATTGAAATCTTAAGTACTAGAGTGGCAGCAAACCATGAAACATTATACTGCTGATTGGAAGGAAGGCCGAGCTTGCTGTCAGGGAAGAAATCTATTGACATAAGCCTCTGATGGATTTCAATTCTAATTTAATATGGCAGCAGCGTGCAGCTGTTCTACCAGTCTATCAGAAGTATTAAAATGTCCATAAATAATAATACTTCAGTGGCTAGAAACTTTCCTCCAAGGAGCTCAAGGATTTCATGAAGATTAATTTGGCAGAGCTGACCTGTGAGGTCCTTGGGATTATGGAGCCCCATATGGACATCTTGTGAGGTGTGGATGGAGAAGTTGAGAGTGGGCTTGATCCTACCTGTCTGTAACCTGCGTCTAGGTATGTTTGAGGGTACTTTCCACCTCTACAAGCCATAACTGCTTAGTTAGCCTTAAACGTGCTCCACAGCGTGGACAAGCCCTGAAATGTGCTTTGAGCCAGGGTTTTGAGGCTGCTGTTAAAATACATGATCCTCTTGCCCAGTTTCTACCTCAAGACCAGATTTTGCTCTGGAGAACGGGCATTTCTAAGTGCTGTGGGATATCCAGATACACAGTCTACCGCTGATGTTACATCCTGCAGGTCTTCCGCAGGCAGCACAAAGAGTGTGTCCCCTAGGCCCAGGTGAGGAGCTGCAGAGGTGATGGCCATCCCATCCTGTGTGGTGGAGCTTCCACCTCTCAGTGCTTTGAGCTCTGGGTGGGCAAAGGTGTCCCATAGCTCCCCATAGAAACAGACTCTGGCAGTACCTTGGCATGGCTTATCTGTAAAATTCATTGTCTCCTCCCTGCTCAACCTTCTAAGTGGATCCTTTTTTTCTCCTTTACAGCATGGATTCAAATGAAAGCAAGTTGAGTGGGGGATAGTTCTTATATTTCTATTTTAGTACAGAAAATATCCCAGGGGGTGAACTTCCCACATGCCATAACTGCAGCAGATTAGTGTGTCCCCAGACAGCAAGAACATAATGATACGGTTTTGTTCAGTGCCATGCTCTGTGGCAAAGTGTAATTTTATGGAGAGGGTCACAAGTGTTTAACCACTCAGAAACTACCCCCAAACATGATCTCAGCTTGTGTGAATCAGAACAGCATCCTCATCTCAAGGCATGAGATGAGGATGATGTTAATGGAGATCTGGTGAGGTGTTTTGCAAGGTAATGAGGGAGGGATAGTGTGTGTGCACGTTGCAGTCAGGGTTGTTAATAAACACAACCAGCTATTATGCCTTTGAAATTGCATAGCTATTATACATTAACCCCTGACACTAAGCTTTCCCCCAATCTTTCTGCTATTCCACTGATATCAGTATTATTAGTACCACTCTCATTTTTCTCTATCATTTTCCTTGACTGAACACTGTGCTTGGCTGCTCTTGCAGATGTGGAGCTGAGCAGCACTGTTAGCTGGAGGGCGTGAGGTTTTACAGGGTGAATGTGACATCTTGATCTCTAATGCAGAGCCCTGGCCATAATGGTGGAACTGGGCAAATGACTCAGCAGATATTTCTGCAAGCTGTTGTCTTTGAGTTTTTGAAAGGTTTCCTTCTGCAAATGCACAGTTCAGCTGCTTGTTGCTGGTTGGTGATGATTCTTTGTGATATATTGTAAAGATCCCAATCAGAAACCCTGTTTCACAGGATACTTTAAAAACTAGTGTCTGTTCTGAAGTCTAGTCTGTACTAGACATGCAAGAAGAAAGTAAGAGAAAGGAAATGCCATTATTATGTTTCCTTTACTTACAGGGAATGGGAACTCGGAGTTGTGCCCTTGCCCATAGACAGACCAAGGTGTCTGTGACAAAGCCAGGACCTGAAAGCTTTTCAGTAATTTAATCCCAAGAGAACTCTTTCTCTAGTGTATAGACAGGAAAATGAACTTTGGGACAGTTTCACTGCACTGGTTAAGTAATGTCTCCAAAGGAACAGAGCTCATTCATTGCTGAGAAGTGTCTGGGATGATATCTGAAGGGGACCTACAAGGATGCTGGACATCAGGGACTGTAGTGATAGGACCAGGGGTGATGGGTTCAAACTTAAACAGGGGAAGTTCAAGTTAGATATAAGGAAGAGGTTCTTTACTCTGAGGATGGTGAGGCACTGGAACAGATTGCCAAAGAAGTGGTAAATGCTCCATTCCTGGCAGTGTTCAAGGCCAGGTTGGACAGAGCCTTGGGTGACATGGTCTAATGTGAGGCATCCCTGCCCATGGCAGAGGGGTTGGAACTGGACTGATCTTAAGGTCCTTTCCAACCCAAACCATTCTATGATAAACAGTGGCCAGAAACATCTGAAACCAACAGGAGCTTTGTAGAAATCAGCCGTTGGTCCATTAAAAAGTGGAAAATGCCAATAATTGTACATTTCTGTTGTTCTTCATCCAGGACGCCGGCGATGATCGGCTGCTCTTTTGTTGTGCACAGAAAGTTCTTTGGAGAGATTGGGCTTCTGGATCCTGGGATGGATGTGTACGGCGGGGAGAACATCGAGCTTGGCATCAAGGTTTGTGACATGTGCATGGGAAAAATTGTAGCTAACAGTGTTTAGGGAACCCAAACAACACTTTCACGAGTTAGCATGAACAGTTATGAGAATGCTTCAGGGGATCTGAGCCTTGGTTTGTTTTATACATTTTAATTTAACCTTAAGGAGGCGAAGTGACTTGCTTTGGGGGGTGAGTAGTTTTTTTCCTTGGATTCTTATCTGTCTGACTTGGTACTGAGATGAAATGGCATGGCAGCTTAAACCATAGGTCACGTTGTCACATCATTCCTGTAATTTCATAGGTGCCTCAATTACCAGGAAAAATACAGTGTCATTTGGACAGCCTTAGTGGGGTTGGTGGAACTCTTGTGAGTCTCTCAAGGAGACGCGAGGCCTGCCAATATTTTACAGGCATTTAGCATCTGCAGATAAACTGTGTTCACAAACAGGCAAAACCTGCTTTTAAGAGTGAAACACTAATAGCCCTGTTTTTAGAGCTGCTTCAGTGAGCCCATGCAGACGTTTGTTGCTCCAGAATCCACTGTAACAGCATCACTTGATTACTGTGAACGGTATTAGATGTGGCTTAGTGATTCAAGTGTTTACATACAGTGAAGTGATTCATAAGCAATGAATTCAATGTTCAGAAGCAACTTGGGATGGCAAAGCCTATGGAGATTCTTTTAGGCGTGTTTTAGAGTACAGCACTTACGTTAACAAGCTGATGGGGAGCAGCTTGAGACTTATAACTGAAAAATTGGATTGACTGTGCTGTTGTGAAAATGAGAAATCATTGTTCAGTTCATAGATTTACCAGAGTATATTTGCTTTGCTGGCAAGTCAGAAGAAACTTAAGAAATCTATTGTTAGTGGCTACAGGGAGCAATAATCTCACTTAAACAAGGGAATAGAAATTAAAGGCTTTAAATATGCCACATAACTCTTCTCTGTATGAAGAAATTGTTGCACATCATCATGCACATCACTGCCTGGGGGGATCTAGAGGGATCCTGCTCTAAACCAGGCTTCTCTTGTGGCTGTCCTTGTTTGTTTGTTTGGGGGATGTTTTAATAATATTATTGTGGCACTAGCCTTCTCCCAACTGGTAATTCAGCCCATCTGCTAGGTTTTAGGGGGATTTTGGGGAAGATTGGCTTCTTAACTGAAAAACAAGGTGGATGTCTCAGGGACAAGTGGTGAGCATATGGCCTCTTCTTTTTCACATGCTGAACTTTTTAGAAAGGCGAGTTAATAAACATCCTTTTGGAAAGAAGTAATCCCTCTCTTCCCAAGTGACTTTGGGTTTCTAATCTGTATGTGTTCCTGCCGTTTGTATACTCATACACTGTGTGTTCCAGTCAAGATATTAAAAACGTTGGTGGTTTTGAGAACCAAAATACTTAGGAAATCCACTTTGTAAGACTGTGTAGAAAGTTAATTTTCAGCCATTCCTGAACTCCAGAGGTCAGTCTGTGTGCAAGTGTCTTATTTAGCAACCAGGAGCCCATGGCACATCAGTCCCATGTCATGGCCATTGGCCATTGTCAGGCAGCCCATGCAGAAAGAGGTCGTGGAGATGTGTCTCTGATTGCCAGGTATTGGAGTGTCACTTCATAGTATGGTTTCAGTTATAAATAGTTTTTTCAAGGTTAGTCATTGTGTGTGTAAGGAAGCAGAGAATTGTTATGGATTCAAACAGATGTCAGGTCTCAGATGGGTATAGCTGTTTCTAATGGTCCCTTCCTTTGTGCTTGTGCTCTGTGTTTCTGGTGTGCATCCCAGCCAGATCACATTACCAGTAATGTAGGGCTCTTTATTAATAAAAGCGTTTTAAAGAATCAGCTTGAATAGAAAATTATGAGGCTTTTTGTGGGTGCTTTGCTGTTTGCCTGATAAGTGGATGTCTATAATCAGAAAAGTAATTTGGTGCTTCCTTGTTTGTTTCAGTGATTTTTGGATGAGAATAAATACAGAAAGTACTTATTTTCTTTTTGATGGTGGGGCAAATTCCATCATCTTTCTGACAATCATGTGACATTTTTTAAACATTAGATTCATGTATTATCAAAAATGCTCCAAGACCAAAAATGAGATAATAAACACATTGAAGCTAAGGGAGGAACATGGAAAAATTACAGCATTTCAGGGCAATGCACAAGTTAACTATATTATGGTAAAATTAAATGCAAGTAATCTGAATAACTCAATGAAATAAATTACTGAGAAGGTTAAGCTGTCCTAACCTAGAAGATCCAAGGCCATAGACTGTGCAAGAGCCTCGTTTCATTAATATAGAATGATAGAGGGGTTTGGGTTGGAAATAGACCTTAAGATCATCCAGTTCCAGCCCCCTGCCGTGGATTCCTCCAAGCCCTGTCTAACCTGGCCTTGAACCCTACCAGGGATGAAGCAGCCACTGGCACCCTGTGCCAGCGCCTCACACCCTTGCAGGGAAGAACTTCTTCCTTATATCCAATCTAAATCTCCCCTGTTTAAGTTTAAACCCCTCAGCCCTTGTCCTGTCTCTGCAGCCCCTGATGAAGAGGTTGCAGAGGATGCTCTCCAGCATCCTTGTAGCCCCCTTCAGATACTGGAAGCTGCTCTGAGGTCTCCATACAGCTTCTCTTCTCCAGGCTGAACAGCCCCAACTTTCTCAGCCTGTCTTCATAGGCGAGGTGCTCCAGACCCTTATCAAATCCTCATGGCCTCCTCTGAATTTGTTCCAACAGCTCCATGTCCTTCTGTTGAGGACACCAGAACTGCACACAGTGCTCCAAGTGGGATCATGTGAGAGCAGAGGGGCAGGATCACCTCCTTTGACTTCAAATGTTCTGAAATGAGCTGTACTGTACCTGTGTGTGGAGAAATGAACAGCCCATGTGTTTCTTTCAGCTGCTGAAGTCAGCTAGATGAGAAAAATAAACCTGTTACATGCACAGAGGTGGCTCTGGGCTCGCTGCTCTCCTCTGTGCTGGGAAGCATCCTCAAATTGCTCAGATAATAATAATAATAAAGCCATTAAGCATGTGGCTGCCCCAGGCAAATTCCTGTTCTGCTTTGGTAGCTTTGGGTAGCTTTGGCCCTGACAAGAGGAACATGCTGTTCTCTCTATTATTGCATTTTCTTTTATCACACTGGAGTGTCTCCAGAAGGTTGTGCTTATTCACTCCTTTTGTCCCTGATGTCCACTGCTTCACTTCCTGAGGCAGGATTGAGTCTAATTCCTCTTTTCTTGGCAAAGAGCAGAGAAGTGTTTGCTAAGCAAGGTAGTTTAAGCTAATATTTCAACTGAGAGGTTTTCAACATGGTTTTTTTTCTCCCCTCTGAACCGTGTGTCTTGCAACCAAATGACAATAGTGCCAGATCATTCTTACAGTGCTGACAGTCTCCAGGATCAAACACTTGATCTATTCATGTGTTAATAACATCCCTCAGCAGACTGTTTGTGGAAATCTCATCCTCCTGGTGACCAGGTGATACCCGTGAAGCTGCTGGAGACAGGGCATGTGAAGAGATCTAGAACCTGGTTTTGGTCTCACTACCAGAATAGAGACAGCAGGTAGCCCAGCTCCTGCTGTTGGTCCCAGGAGGAATAACCTGCTTTCTCTATACAAGCTGTGAGTCAGCTCTTTTAACTCTTTCTTCTCTGATGTGGTAAACCTGGTGTCCAGTTTCCATGGCTTAAAGGTGTTGATGCTGTTCTGGGTCCCCACCAGCTCCATGTGTGAGTTTTGGCACAGCATCCCTGTTCCTTTTTCTTTATTTTAGAGCTGTTTGTGGTCCCAGTGACTGTGTGACCAAGTGGGAAGTCTGCTTTTGCTGCGTGTCTCACTTTTCCTCTGCAGGGAGGATTTAATGGGTTTTCATGGTTAGTCACAGGCATTCCCTAAAGATGCTCCATAAAATTGCGCGTGTCTATTGGAATAAAGATGCAAGAGTCTATTGCATGACTGTTGCCATGATTTCAAAGTCTGGGATGGGTTACAAGGTCGTTTTCAGTGTATCTTGTGCTCCTGCCATCCGTTGCTAATTAAACTTATTTGAGCTGTCTTTTAGAGATTAATTTAATCAATAAGGATATTATTACTACTTTGGTGGTATCATTTGTACAAATTGTCACTTGAAGAAAGCAATTAACTGGGAATGCTCATTAGCTGATCCATCCCCCACCTTATTTGTGTAGTAAGAATCGATTAGTGAATTCATTAAGAAAAGCACAATTCAGGGATCCCTTTGAGGTTTAATGATGAGCTACTTTTTACTATGAAAGAAAATTCTGTGAAAGTTAAATTGTCTGAAGTTTGGTTGGATCTTTTAAGACTGTTTCCAGAGGAAAAGCAGAGCATGTCTTCCTGATATCCCAGATTTTTTTGCCCCCAAATCTGTCATCTAGATTCAACAGGCCAGATTTTGGTGCTGCCAAGGCAGCAGTTGTGTGCATGCAGCAGGCAGAGTTGCATCCGTGTGCAGAGCAGCAATAAGGGAATATGGAGCTTTAAAAATCCAGTGGGTGCAGTGAGGGCATCGGACATATTGTTGTCAGTGGTGATTTCTTTAATAATCAGACTGTCATTCTAGAGCTACCTAGGCACAAAAAGGGCACTGGCAGTGACACTGATCCTCTCCCAGAGGATACCATGCCTGTGTGCACTTCAGTCTTCCAGAAACCCTAAAAATAGATTAAATAGCAAAATGGTACAAATCTCTTGTGTGTGTTTCATCCATGAAGGAGCCCATTTTGTTTGTATGGGCATGATTATTGATGTGCCGAAATGTTGAGAGGGTGAGGCAGGAAAGAAAACAGGAAAGCCGTCAAATAGGTATATTTAAATTCCATAGGGAAGCTTGACTCTTTCTGCATTCAGAAAATCAAATCTTTCTCTTCCTGCATACATTTGCCATAAAATGATGGCTGTATCTTTTTGTTAAGAAGAAAACAGTGAGGGTATTTAGAGCAAGCAATTCTTCTGGTATCCGTGGCTCTGTTGGGGCTGAGGAGAGGGATGGGCAGCCTGTAT